GATCACGATCGGTTCGGTCCTCAACCGAATGTACGCAAAGCTGCTGACAAAGCGCCTGGAAGCGCAGGTCCGAATCGACCCCCGACAGAAGGCTTTCGTGCCGGTCGACGGGTGCAGCGAACACACATTTGTAGTCTGTGCAGCACTCGAGGAATGCCGAAAACGGAGAAAGGAGTGTAATCTGGTGTTCTTGGACCTGGCCAAGGCTTTTGACATGGTATCTCACTGTTCCATCAAACGTGCACTTGAGAGGTTCAACGTGGGTCCGCGATTCGTCGAGATTGTGGGCGACCTGTACGCAGGCGTCACAACCGTCATTCGCGGAAAGCAGGGCCCGACTGACCCAATCAGGATGTCGCGTGGGGTGAAGCAGGGTTGTCCACTCAGTCCGATCCTTTTCAACATGGTCATGGACGAGTTGGTCGACCTTATGGGATCCAGGCACGAGCTGAGGCCGGGCCCAGACATCGATGGGTTCAACACCCTGGCGTTTGCGGACGATCTCGTCCTGGCCAGTGGTACAGTGCACGGGATGAACCAGCTGCTGGCTACAGCTCGGGGATTCTTCGATGCTCGATCAATGAAGGTGAACGCGTCTAAGTCTCATACCATCAGACTGGCGCCCGCCCCAGGCACCCGGACGGTGAAGGTGGTCGAGGGTATTACCTTCTCGATAGGTGATGAACCGATCATGAACCGGGAGATCACTGAGTCGGTCAAATACCTCGGACTATCCCTCTCCCCGAAGGGGCCGAACCATTTTGAAACGCATGCGGCAGTCAGACCTCCAGCTGATCCAAAAGGCAGCACTGAAGCCAGAACAGAAACTGGACATGGTACGCCGGGTCCTTCTGCTGACTCAGATGCATACCTTACGGCTAAGCACTCGGGCGCCGATACAGGAGATACGCCAGCTCGATCGAGTCGTGCGTAGGACGGTAAGGGGAATCCTCCACCTGCCTCCCGGCACGCCGACGGCCTTCTTCTACATGAAAGCGCCCGATGGTGGTCTTGCCCTGCCAGAGGTGTACTCCACCGTGGGTTACACCCGCCTTAAGCGACTCGTGCGCCTAAAGGCAAATGCGGACGAGCTCGTGGTCAGCTATGCCCGAGCGTCCGAAAGGCTCGAAAGGGAGCTGCGGTACTGGGTTGGGGCGCTCGGTACCGAGGACACGTCTCTGTCCAGTATCTCGCGACACTCGCGCGCTCGTCATTCGGCGCGAGCAGAGACCTACCGAACCACCCAGGTGGGACGGTTGTTCGACGCAAACGCGTCTTCTGTCGGACACTCATGGCTCACGAAACCAAAATCTCTCAGGGGCGGAGAGTTCGTAGCCGCGGTGAAAATGGTCTCGGAAAACCTGCCCACCCGGATAAACTTAACCCGCGGTCGGGGCGAAGGGTTGAAGGAGTGCCGGCGGTGTCGAGGCCAAGCCGAGACACAGCTACACGCCCTAAACGAGTGCCCAGGATCAAGGGAGGCACAAATTCGGCGCCACAACTGGGTGTGTGGACTGATCCGTGACCGAGCTCAAAAGATGGATCCGAGATCTACCATCCTGAGCGAGCACAGGGTGCCGTGTCACGGAGAGGAATACCTCCCAGACCTGGTGGCATGGTCAGTGGCACAAAGGCCACTCCTGTGGACGTCGCTGTCTGTTACGACAACCGGGCTGATCGCCTCAGGGCGCGGTACCGGGATAAAATCCGAAAGTACTCGGTGATTAGAGAGGCCCTGCGCGAACAGTTGAACAGTGACCCGGCCAGAAATCGGCCCGAGGTCACAGAGGTCTCGGTTGACGCGTTTGTCATCGGCTCAAGAGGCCTGATACTGCGCGAGACCGCGTGCGGGTCACTCAAAAAACCTCAAACTCACGGACAAGTCCTTCCTACACAATGTCCAAGAGGGTGTCATTAGGGGGTCCGTTATGACCTGGCGGGCATTCCTTAAGTAGTCCGGGACTGTACATACGCCCCGCGGTAGGACTCAGGCACAGGCCGTCGTTATGTATAGGGTTGCTGATAGGTAGGTAGGATGTATATCTAGTTCTATATATTAGCCTAGCATCCTTTTCTTTCCCTGTAGCCGGCACCCCGTTCTACGACACGTCATACGGTGGACGCGTAGTCGGTCAGGGCTGGCTCCTCGGAAGACCGCCCGGTAGTCGGTCGTTAGGAAAGCCCGCTCGGTAGTCGGTGCTTTATAGGATATAGGGCCGCTCGGTAGTCGGCCGATAGGAATAGCCCGCTGGCTTGTCGGTACTCCCCGCTCGCTAGTCGGAGCTTTATAGGACAGAAGGCCGACCGGTCGCTATGGCCGTGAGGACCTGCTTGGCTAAGGCTTGGGCTGGGGCTAACCTGTGATGAGGTTGGTCCCGATCCTACCGTACGTAGGGAGTCTCCTTCATTTCGCGAGGACCTTCTGGGACTGTCTGGCGGCTGTCCACTGGTTGGCCCGAGGGGAAGGCTGGAGCACTCGAATACCGGATTCACAGAATCCACAAAATTGGCAGCTATATTTATATAGCAGCCACCAATCGTGTTCACTACCTCCGTCGGGGGGGGGGGGGGGCGGGGATGCAACACTTAGACTAACTTAGAGCTGTATATAACTCTTAGATATAAAAGTCATCCCCACTAGGTGCCATTAGGATAGAGGGAGGGTATAAGGATAGATGGGGTGGAGCGTCGCGCTGACCATGTTAGATCTAAGTCCAAATATATCCAGTCTTAATCCTTGACGACAGTCTTGTCTAGTCCTTTGCGGTCCTCGCGGGCCGGTGAAGCCGTGGGCTCTGCTCCTGGGCCAACAACACCAGGCCGTGGTCCCAGACTCTACTCGGGCGAACACCTAACCCGAGCAACAATCTCCAAATAAAGGAATTGAGGGAAGGGCACCACCAGGAGTGGAGCTTGCGGCTTCATTTGACTCAACACGCGGCACAACTCACCAGGCCCGGACACCGTAAGGATTGACAGACTGATAGCTCTCTCTTGATTCAGTTGGTGGTGCATGGCCGTTCTTAGTTGGTGATTTGTCTGGTTTATTCCGATAACGACCGAAATCCTATTTAACTATTAAATATACTAAACTTGACACTCATATATTTCTTGGCACTCTTTGCAAACACCTAGTCAGCAATGGTGGCTGTTGTTCGGTGCAGAGGACGTCGGGAGCTCGTCAGACGCTGGCGATCTAAGGTTTCTATCAAACATAAGGTACGGGAAGAACAGTGAGCGACCGAGTGGAAAATGCACTCTGCATCTTTATACCCAGTCATGAAAAGGGGAATGTTGTAAGTTCCAGTCATTGTGACTTTCATTGGCGTATTTGACCATCATATATAAAATGGCTTCCGTCATCCGCTCACATTTCGATTTTCCCTCTGGATGAGAGGTGAACAAAAACGGTTTGTCTACGCCCGGCACGCGACACACCTCCGCAAGCAATGAGCCAGAAAAGTTGTCGGCGTTGTCGGAGGGTATGCGTCGGGGGCAGCCGTAGCGTGCGATGATCTTGGATTAACGGTGAAATCGGCAACGGTAGCGGAAGACACTGGGTAAACTTCACACCATTGGCTTAAATAACAAAATACGACGAGATATTGTTTGTTTCAAAAAGATGAAAGAAAAAAAGACGGCAAAAGAAAAAAAGCTCCAGCAAAAGCATGTTGACCGCCGCGGGGGTGAAAGCGGTTTGAACCACCATTGGCTTGGTCACTGGAGGACCGACAAGAAAAGGACGCTGGAGCGCGCCGAGACTGATCAGCTAGCCGTCGCCGGGGCGGTGACGACCACTTTATCAACAAGACCTGCAAGCACATATATCAGGCGAGAAAGAACACTTACATATATACACACAAAAGACAAGAGGCAACACAACAATCTATTTAAAAAAAGGCCAAAGAAGTTCGTGTGTCACCAGAAATTCGGCATAGAATCCGAAAAAAAGAAAGAAGAACATAGCAAATAAGATACCAACTCAGCCGAAATCGCAGATGTCGGATGGCCAGAAGGGGCCAATAGAGTAAGCAATCACAATGCGCAGTGTGGCAGGCAATGCACAGAAAATGGACGGAAATGGTTTCAAATGGTTCCGTAGAGTAGAGCTAGCCAATGGAACCTCTTGAACGAGGAACGGGTGTGGCTCAAAAGCTGCATTGCAAGCAACATTGATCACTTTGGCTTGTCGGCCTGGTTGGCCGTCGCCGGTTCGCGCCGGTAGCGCGCACAGTCGACGGGAACCACCGCGTCGTTCGGCAATTATAGCTCGTTTTTTTTAAGTTCGACCCTCACTGTAGTAGTCTTTTTGAACACAGCACGAGAATTGCTAGCTGAATTGCTGAGAAAACTGGTTGGCGCACATTGTATTGGGGTAATGAATAATAATTGCTAAATAACTTTTAAACGCCGATAATATGCCAATATGTTAGACGCCCTGAAATTTACTGATAAGTTCATTTATCATTCCTGGCATTATTTTAATTTATTATTTTGTAAACATGAATCGAACTGAAAAATGAGTTATTGTAGACAGTTTTTCCAGTTTTTTTTAGACAGTTTCTTAGGCAAGATTTTCCCAATAGCCGAGTTGGCTATGGGTATGAATGATAAAGGAAAGCTTATTTTCAGGACGGAAGATCCTTGTCGATTTTCTGCACAAGACCAGGCAACAATGTTAACTGGACTTTTTATTAATTGCCAAAGTGTGCCATACTCGTAAGCCGATCAGTAGTGGCTGAGCTGGTGGCTGAGCTCTTATTTCACTGATCCTGATCAGTACCGGCTTTACCCATGGAAACGGCCCCAGTCATCCGGATCAGTAGCGGCTTCACTGATCCGGATACGAATCCCTTTGCTCATGGAAACGTAGTCAATGTGCACCAACCAGTTTTCTCAGTAACTCAGCCAGCAATTCTCGTGCTGTATTCAAACTGCTAAAAAAACGAGCTATGAGAGGGAACTCAGAACTGGCACGGACCAGAAGAATCCGATGGACATTAAATCATGGCATTGTGATGGCCAAGGTCCGTGTTGACGCGATGTGATTTCTGCCCAGTGCTCTGAATGTCAAAGTGAAGAGATTCATCCAAGCGCGGGTAAACGGCGGGAGTAATTATGACTCTCTTGGGCTGCTAAGGGGCGGCCAACCGCCATCCCGGTCGCCCCAAGTCCCTACCAGCCGCCTCCTCGTGGCGCAGCCCGGGCAGCGGCCGTGGGGTTAGCGCCCTGCGGTCGGCCAAGAGCTGGAGGGTAACCGCTAGCCGGCATGGGTTGCCAGCCCGTGCCGGCGAAGCATACTGTGGCCCTAAAACACCGAACAAATCAAGTGGACAAGGCGGCGCGAGACGCCTACCACAGTGTACCAGGGCGGAGGGCGCGGAGGGGTCGGCGGGGGCCTCGGCTCCCGCCAGCGATCCAACACCCGACCCGCAAGTGTGTCCCGACTGCGGCCGGCGATTTACCACCTTCGCCGGCCGCAGACTACACCAACGCCGGGCCCACCTCGCCGAATTCCATCGAGACGTCGTCGAAGACCGGGCGGCGCTCAAGAAGGCGAGGTGGGACCCCGAAGAAAGACAACTCATGGCGATGCGAGAGTCGGGGATGGTGCGGCAAGGCATCAAGAACCTGAACCTGGCCCTGGCGGAGGTGATGCCCGGCAGGAGTGTGGAGGCCATCAAGGGACAGCGACGAACAGCTGTATACAAGAGGATCCTGGGCTCCCTCCTGCCGGACGCAGGCGAATCAAGTCCACCTGCCGCCGGGGCCGCCGCCGCGCCGTCCTCGCCGGACCTACAAGCGCGCCAACCATCCACGACAAACGAGGCGTACCCCGCTGGCTCGGGGCGGCCGCACTCTTCACCGATTTGCGACGTGGCACACCCGCAAGGGCAGCCCCAAACAAGTGATGTGGCACGCTCCTCGGAGCAGCCCCAAAACGAGGCAAACGCGAGTCCAGCCGCGGAGCCTCCGTCGAAAGACATGCCTGCCAGGGACTCGGCATCTCGATCGCCGAGCAACATCTGGCGTGAGAGAATCCGAGATTACTTTACGAGTCTCGGGGAGTCGCCGGGCGGCAAATTTACAAACTGTATACACGTCTTCGGAGACCGAGCCGTGACGTCATGCCAATGGGCGGAGTGAAAGGCTGTAGCGGCGCTTGGCAGGTGACGTCAAGTGCAGGGGCGGAGCGGAAGACTCGCGGATCGTGGAGCTTACCTACTCGATGAGAAATTGTAATGTTGTGTTGAATATTTACAACTAGCTAAAACCCCTGATCTTGTTTGGGAAAATAGTTCATCCGAAAGACCAAGTTATACTTACGATAGCATAATTGGTGAACACAGTTGCCTGCAAAGTTTGAATGTCAATCAGACCGATCGTCCACCAACCGCCTGTGGCCAAGTGGCTATTATCCTCGCAAATTACCTAGAGGAGCCGAGTTCGATTCTCGGGGCGGCGAGTTTTTCTCATGAGCTCCGACGTCAAATTGAACGGTTTTACGTAAGCCTATAAGTAATATAAAGCAAACCCCTCTTATTGATGAACGCGGTTGGCGGCTCACACGCATGTTGCAGGTCAGAGTGGGTGGTATGAAACGACGCGTCTCGACCGTCTCCGTGTTGTTTGCTAGGTGTGCACGCTGTCAGTGCACGGGTTTTGTGCATTTCGCCGAAAATCATCCTGGATTCTAATGAAATCGGACGTCTAAATAGGCCGACTCGGCGGCGCTCTGAACGGCAGACGGCTTAAAAGATCAACTTGAAACTTATACGCCCGTCTAGCGGCATCGATTTTGGCGAGGCACTTTTCGGATCTCTAACTATGCTCCAAAATGCCGAAGATCGTCACGTCAACCGTCCTGGCATTCGCCGACGATCTGGTTGTGCTGGCAAGGACCAGCCATGTTAGAGCACCGGCTGCAGGTGCTCACCGACACCCTCAGCCAGGCGGGGCTAGGCATCAGTCCGACCACGTGCCAGGTCCTCGTCCGTAAAGTAGACGGCCGGCACAAGAGGGCCAGCTCTGAGGCGACAGAAACATCTCGTAGAGCAAAAGGGCAAAAGCTGGCTTGATCTGGATTTTTAGTACGAATACGGACCACGAAAGTGCAGCCCATCGATCCTTTCGATTTTACGAGCTTTAAGCAAGGAGGTCAGAAAAGAGGTGTCAGACTCTCTTAATCGGCAAGTCTCAACAAAGAAAGGAAGATGGCTGCATAGCAGAGACCCCGGCCTACCACCGGTCAGTCAAACCCCGCAAGACACCGAAGCCGGCTCGTCCTCCGAACTCGGACGAACGCATACCTGCCCACACTGCAACAACTCATTCAAGACGGCACGAGGTCTCGGCGTCCATCGAGCTTCCAAACATTGAGCTCAAAGAGACCTGGAAGTAGCCGAAGGACGTGTAAACATCACCAAAGCACGCTGGGACCCGGAGTTCTTGGGGAAGTGCCGATTTTTCATATAGTCATCCACGTGTGCCGTATAACACGACTGGCCGAAAACGGGCTTAATATATTTCGACTAACCAGCCAAGAGCCTGGCTTTAAAGGTAGTGTGCCAGCTTTCTTGGACCATATGGAGTTAATGACCCGGATAAGGAGAACCGGATTTTTAGAACTTATCCATATCGCCCTGGGCCGTCGAGGACGCCTTCGTCGGGGCGGTCGGACGCTGTCTCAGCGCCCGTCCGCTCCGCGGTGGCGACTTGCTGGTCCGTTGCGATCCGGGGGAGCGTCAGCAGCTGCTGGCGATCACCCGGGTCGCGGGGGCGGAGGTCCGGGCATGGGCCCCTCCTCACCTCAACCAGTGCCAGGGTTTCATCTTCGCCCCATCCCTCCAACTCCGCTCTATCCCGGAGCTGGAGGAGGGCTTTCGCTGCGTGGGAGTCCGCGGGGTGTATCGCCCTCCCCGCTCTCCCAAAATCCTTATCCTCACCTTCGACACGCCCCAACCGCCGGCTTCCGTCAGGGCTGCTTACCTGTCCTTCCCCCGTCCTCCCTATCCTGCCCAAATCCCTCCGCTGCCGTCGGTGCCAGCGTTATGGCCACCGCCAGCAGCACTGTCGTGCCCCCCATCCCGTCTGCTCCTCCTGTGCCCAGGAGGGGCACGACTCCCCATCCTGCTCCAGCCCCTCGGTGTGCTGCGCCGGGTGCGGCGACGAGCATCCCTCGACCGACCCCGGCTGCCCTCGGTGGCTGGCAGAGTGCCAGGTGTCCCTCCTGATCCGACAGGGCTGGGAGCCCAGGGACGCCCGCCACTACGTGGCGACCCACTTGGACGCCGACCCTACCACCATCCCCTCCAACTCTGACTCTGTCCGCCGTCCTCCTCCCACCAACCACTCCGAGTACCCCCCTCTCCCTCAGAAGCCTAACCACATCCCACCTCCTCGTCCGCCCACTCCCCGCTACCCTCCTTCCTCCGGCCGGTCGACTCCTAACGCTCCCCCTCCGCCCCCTCCCCGACCGGCCAGCGCGGCCAGGTCCTCTGCTGTGCCGCCGCGGCCCCCTCGGGCCGCCGGTGCCGACACTCACGGCACCCCTGCACCTCCTCCACCTCCCCGCGAGCGCCCGGTGCCCCCGGCTTCCCAGCCGAAGGATACAGACGAGAGTCAGGCGCCGGTCCGTAGCGGGTTATCCAACTCAGACTCCAACCTCACCGACTCCAACACCACTACCGACCACCACTCATCCACGCCCAGCCCCACCACCCCGCCGGGCCGCCCACGCCGCACCAGACTCCAGTCGGCACCCGCCGAGTCACACACACTCTCACTCTCAGACAGAAACACTAAGTAGTCCCACATGTGCATAACGCCCCACCACGCCAGACACTACGCTGACACGTCTGTTGGAGTTTGTTTGTGCGCCGAATATGTCTCAGCCGCGCCGAAGTTGTATTTATTTATTACTCTGTTTAGTGCTGGATTTCTGTGACTGTATTACGTGTATGGCGAGTGAAGAGGACCCCCATCACTACAGTTTCATTCTCTTCCGGGAACGTGGCATTGGAAATGTAAACAATCGGTTCTGTTGTGCTTTCCCTTGGCTTTTCCGCAATAAACCCGCACTCTGGGGTCTCCCGGGCGTGTGACGAGGTGGACAGAAGCGGGATACAACAACGTCCTTGCTGCAGTGGAACGTCCGAGGTATTCCAGAAAACTGGCATGAATCAACACAGGCACTTATCAAATTTCAAAAGTCAATTTACTGCCTCCCAGAAACTCATTTAAAACCAACCGACACATACAATTTTAATATCCAAAATTACACTCTAATCAGAAAAGACGCTTCAACAAATCCGGGAGGAAGGAGAAGAGGCGGAGTCTGCGCGTATAGCGAACATCACATCCCCTTTCAAAATTATTAACCTAGCAACTAACTGACTATAGCTATAGAAACTTTGACTTAAGCTATAGAAATTAAAACAACTAGGCGCTACATAACAATAATTAGTTAGGTAACTTCTACGCCCCTCCAGGGGTAGTTTTTGAAGAATTCATGACTGACCTGGAAAGAATATAAGATAACATAACTACTACTATCATCTTATGCGGTGATGCAAACGCGCACCATCCACTATGGGATAGATCTAGACAAAACCCGGACTCAAAAGGCCAATCCTTCACACACAGTCGTGTTTCGCTCTCCGACCGACGTGCTACCTCTGCTGCCGCTGCCTTCGATCGCAACTCTACACATTCGTAAGTCACACTTTGCTGGACCTCACCACTAACAACTTTACACAAGACAACACTCACATACGCCCACACAACACCACCTACCAACACCACCTCCACAACACCCACGCACCCCACACACCCACCTCGCCTCCCTCCCTCCACCATGTCCCGTAACCCTACCCCTACCTCCACCTCCTATCCCTCGTCCTCTACTCCTGTCCCATCCTTTATCCGCATCCGCCGTATGGACGGCCCTCCTATGTCCGACCTCTCCCCCTGGGCGGTGGGGGACGCTCTCTCGTCGGCGGTCGGGCGCTGTCCTCGTGCCCGGCCGCTGCGAGGGGGCGACCTCCTCGTCGCCTGCGAGGCGTCGGAAAAGCGAGCCTTGCTCGGTCTCCGGCGAATCGCGGGTGCTGAGGTGAAGGTGTGGGCTCCGCCCCACCTAAACCAAAGCCAGGGATCGATATATGCCCCATCCCTGCAACATCTTCCCTTGTCCGACCTTGAGGAGGGGTTCTCCAGGGTGGGCGTCACCTCTGTGTACCGCCCACCCCGCTCCCCTAAAATCCTAATCCTAACCTTTACCATCTCCGAACCTCCCCCTACATCCTGGCCACCTACCTCTCCTTCCCCGTCCGAGCTGTCCTCCCCAAACCTCTCCGCTGCCGGCGGTGCCAGCGCTACGGGCACCGCCAGCAGCACTGCCGATCCAACTCCCCCACGTGCTCCATCTGCGCCGAGGCGGGGCACGAGTCCTCATCCTGCTCCTCCCTCGATCCTCTGTGCGCGGGTTGTGGCGGCGCCCACCCCGCGAACAACCCATCCTGCCCCCGCTGGGCCTACGAGACCCAAGTCACCCTCCTCATCCGCCGGGGTTGGGATCCCCGCCACGCTCGCGCGTACGCGGATTCCCATCCCTCATCCAATCCTACTCCTCGCCCTCCGACCTCAGCCAGACCCTCCCACCCCTCCAATGACTGAGGCGGAGTACCCTACCCTCAAGCCCTCCACCCCTTCTGGCCGGTCCGCCGCCCCTCCCACCTCCCAGCCACCCACCAACGCCCACTCCTACCACCCCACTCCTCCTCCCCGACCGGCCAGCGCGACGAGTGGCTCCGTCCGATCAGCGCAGCGACCTGAGGCGGTCGCCGAGACCCCAGCTGGGGTCTCCACCCGGGACCCCCGCAGACGTCCGGCCAACCCACCGTCTGAGGAGCCGACTCCCAGGCCGGAGGCCAACGGGGGCTCCAAGCCAGTACCTGCTCCCGAGCGCAGCCGCAGACCTCCACCACTTCTGCCTGCCGTCTTCTCCAACTCGGAGAAAACCCAATCCACTGACTCTTCCACATCGACCTCAACCAGCCCCACCACGCCACCCAAGACCCGCCGCACTCGCCTTCAGTCGGCTCCGTCCTACTTCCACTACACACTCCGTCACAAACAACAGTAAACAGAACAGTACACAATAGTGTCCCACCACCCTACCACACATTTGTTGTAAATTCACAACAAAAACATCACACTCTTGCAGTGGAATGTTAGGAGAGTCCCTGAAAACTGGTTTGAATTAAAACAAGCCCTAATTACTTCATCAAAATATATCATTTGTTTACAGGAATCTCATCTTAAACCAAGCGATCCATATAACTTCAATATTTCAACTTACTCATTAACTAGAAAAGATGCAGTTTTTCAACCTTCAAGAGGAGGAATCTTTCAAGAGGAGGAGTTTGTACATACATCAAAAGTAACATAGCTTTCCGAGAAATCCAATTTACAACAAACTTTGACATCCAAGCAATCGAAATCAGCACTAATCAAAATTCTCTCACCGTCATCAATACTTATGCCCCGCCGGACATTAACCTCCCAGAACTAATTCACGACTTAGAAACTCTGATAGCCTCCTTGACATCCCCCTTCATTATATGTGGAGATTTTAGTGCTCATCACCCACTATGGGATAAAAGTAGAACAACTCCGGATACCAAAGGCCAAGCTCTACTAGAATTCGCAGACTCTTCTCAGATAATCATCCATAATGACGGCTCCCCTACCTTCCCTGCAAGAAACACAAAACACACTGACACCACACAAGACATAACAGGCTCCTCACCATCACTTGCACTTTCAATAACATGGGAAACCTCACCAGACCCTTACTTCAGTGACCACTTACCAATCCACATCACATTAGGACACACCACCACACAACACAAATCCTATACACGTTTCAACCTCAAAAAAGCAGATTGGCACTCCTTTACGACCACAAAATGAAATAGAGCGACAACCAACCCCCCCAGCAATTCATCGCAAGCATCACGGACGCTGCAAAACTTCACATACCATACACAAAATCAAACAACCCTAAGCCGAAATCAGTACCATGGTGGAATTACGACTGCCAAAGAGCTATCACTTTTAGGA